TTATTTTTAGTTAGCATATAGCTAAAATCTAACGATGGTTATATAATAGCAGCTGCATTCTGACGTGATAAGCTGTATGTTTTATATTCAATTAATATATGATCGATTAGTTGACTAATCGAAAAAATAATCGGTGATTAATTGTTTATAAAAATAATTGTTTGTGGCAGCCCTAATGGTGAATGCTGTTATTGTTAATGATAACTACTACAAAGTTTAAATTATATAGTCTAACAACTTTTTTATAGATTTATTGGCTTTATTGGGGTATTTCTAATGAGTAAAACTTTACTTGATGAGTTGTAATTTAGTGCTATTTTGAGCTGCTGTCTATCTTTCAAATTTTGTGTTTCAAATTCCCTAAATTAATGTTTACTATTGACAAATCTCTGCACACTTGTAATAAAAGGTGAATTGTTATAGCTGCATCTGGCTGCTATCTGTACAATCTGACTTTGACAATGTCTGTATCTTTCACAAAAAAGCATGCATGCATTCATTTTTTAAAATCTAATGTCTCCACTTAAGTATTTTATTTATTAACCTTTATTTAACGAGGCAAATGTCACTGAAATCACAGATCTTGTTTACAAGGGAGGCCTGGATTGAACCCAGCACCTTTTTGCTGAGACTTCAGCGCCACTTATATGTGTAGCTAAAGAACAAGAGTTAAAAAGGGTTAAATTGGTCTGATAGAATGTGTTTATTATATGTTATCAATGCAAACACGAAAAAGCCTTTGATGTGACACGATTCCTTTTTGTAGCAAAAAAAATCAAAATATAATAATATTTTATGTCATACAAATAATGTGTGAAATAAGAAAACTTGATCAATAATCGCCTTGTTCTGTTGAAAATTTTGTATGTTGAATTATTCTGTTTTTAATAAAGATTGTTTTGTTTAGTGCAAGACAGCACTTCACAGCACACAGCTGCTAACCCAACAGATACTGAGCACTCCTACTGATGTCTAATAAATATTTTCCTTAATCACCCTACCAGCTGGATGTCTGTGGTGAAGAAGTTGGGACCTGATCAAGAGTCTGCACTTCTTTCTTTGCCATGCTGAGAGCCTGGGGATTTGCTTTCCTGAAAAAAAAAAGTGTTATAAATGTACAGGTACGAAATAAGTGTCGTTCAAACCACGTGTGTAGTTACTCGTCATTTCCTCTGGGGGGCAGCACAGCACGCGCTTCCTGTTTATGTCCGTAGAAGAAGAAATTAYTGCGTCTGTAAAATTGTTCCCTACTTTAGTTCAAAATAAGCGCAGCCAGGTAAGCCTTTTAACTACTTTTATCTGCATCCTGCGCTTGTTTGTTGTGTGTTTAGTGCACATTGCGTAATAGAAGTTACATTTTGMGCCCAGTTTTGAAGTTGGAGCTAAATGTCATAACTATATTGCATTTATTAGCTTTCTAAGCTAATCAGGACAGGTTAGCTGGAGAGTTTAAAGCTACCTAGTTATGTATAACCTTACAGTGTATACTTCTTTTGCGAGGTGTCTAATATTGTGATATTTYAAAGTGTTTTCCAAGCCATATGTTTTTCTTTGTAAGTTAGACTGGTCGTCCAAAGAGAGATGGATACTCTCGCACAAATGCTCACGGACCCTCTSGATCCAAAAGAGGAGCACGGAGGACAGATTACAGAAGAATGCATGCTTGGAAACAGTAGAGTTAATCTTCCAGAGGATCTACTTGAGGATGTAAGTAGTCTAAGTCTATGATTTTTTTTCTTTTGTGTGTACCCTCAGCCACTGTTCCCGTATGAGTAATCGCCTTATTTTTCTTTGCAACAGCCTGAAATTTTTTTCTCCGTGATGAGTGAAAGCACCTGGAAGGAAGTCCTGACAGATTCTCAGAGACAACACCTGCGCCACTTCCTGCCACAGTTTCCTGAGAACAGCACTGAGCAGCAGGACATTACTATCAGTGACCTGTTCAACAACAGAAACTTTAACTTTGGAAACCCTCTCCACCTTGCACAGAAGCTTTTTAGAGGTKCTTCCTAATCTTTATTCACACCTACACTGCTGTTAATTGAGCTGATTGTCAACTTAATGCATCAGCAGCATGCCAAAATCAGCACTGATGGTGTTGTTTGTTTGTGTGTTTATTTATACACCTTACTCTTGTTCATTGTTGTATGTTGGTGCTGTTTGAAGTGTTCTCTTTAAATGCTCCCCCTAAATGCCTATTTCTCAAACCAAAATACAACTCTGTAATTCTGAATGAACTTTTAAACCCTTGCCTTGTTCTGTTTGTAATTATTTCAGATGGTTACTTCAATCCTGAAGTGGTCAAATACAGAGAATTYTGTGCCAAGTCCCAGAGAAAGCGCCACTTGCACTCTCTCCAGCAGTATTACCACAAACTCCTGAAGCAGATTCTCGTCTCCAGAAAGGTTTGGTTCTTGCTTATTAATAAAGTTGTTGACTTTTTTTTGCAGTTTATTTCTTGGAATTCTTGATTTGTCCTTTTTGTAGGAGCTGCTGGACTTTGCAGTTCACAACGGTTTGGACTTTCCACCAAAAAAGCGTTTACCAAATAAAACTCAAGCTGAAATGCGGGAGCCGAGAGTGAGAAGACGACTGAGTCGGATACTGAAGGAGGTCAAAATGGAGTGTGGGGACAGCAACGCTTCGTCTGATGATGATGGTCAGTCTTGTAAATTTTATTTAATTATTCATTTTATTCTCTTATTTCTTCATTCAGAAGTCGCTTAAGCTGATGACAGATTATTCTAATAGCATTCTTGTGTTGCTGAGTCATTTTTTAACGTTGATCCCTACTTGTTTATATATTTCACCTGTTCACMGTTTGCGTGTTAGATCTGTCATTATGGACTCCAGCACCTCCGTCTCCATCCTCTCCACCGCCCACGGTCTCCCTCAGAGTTCTTCCCAGCCTCTCTACTCCAGACATGAGGATCACCGGTCAGTGATTTATCTGCATGTAGATGGTGATTCGATAAATATTAAATCTCCATGAAGGCATGCTTTTAAAGAATTTTTTTTCTTTTTTTTTTTTTCTCAGAAAAATTAGAACTAGGTGAGCTGGATTTAAAATTCATGCTACAAAACCATCATGAGAAGAGGAAGCGTCAGCTGGTAAGTTGTGATCAGAGGAGAAAACAGAGTTTATTTTTTATTAGCAAACTGTAGAACTAATAATTAGTTTTTTAGGACCATCCGGACTTGGTAACTTCTGATATTCAGCTAGGAGACATACTTGCAAGAGCAAATCTTGGTCGGAAAGGGGCTTTGCGTGAGTAAATAGTTTTGAAATATACAGGTTTTATTTTATTTTATTTTTTTCTCAAAGGGGAGCATTTTGCTTTTCCTTTTTCAGCGGTTTTCGACCTCCCTCTGCCTAAGAAGAAGATCAAAGAGGAGAGGAAGAGGAAAAAGTTAAAGACTATAAAAGTGGAGTCGGATGATCCCTGTGAGATTCTCACACCGTCAGACGCCTCCTCAGCTCCTCCAGTTAACATCAACTCCCTGCCTGATGCCCCTTCTACTCCACTCATCAATATCAAGGAGGAGTGAGTTTTGTTCCTCTGTAGAATCAAAAATATTTACAGTCTCTTGTATTTTAGGGCTGATATAAAACAACCAAATATCACAACTATTACAGAATTGTGGAGGAGTGTCAGAGCAGCCCGATTCCTGTTGAGGAAATCACTTCCAGTTTCTTCAGCTTGTTGGAAAATATCTTAAAATTGGAGGGTCTTGCCAGCACCTCAGCGGTACAGACTCCTGAACGTCACATAATTATAAAATCAGTAACATTGCTAACGATGCTAACATCACTGTTCTGACTGCACAGTTGGAGGAGAAGGTTCAGACATGGCAGTCCTCTCCTGCCAGTTCTCTCAACGTGTGGTTCACATCTGCATCATGTTGGTCCGATTTGGTCCTTCAAGCTCTGCAGTTTCTCGCTGGGGAGACTAAAGGTAGGCCAGAACACTGAAGTTATAGGCGTTCTACCTCTTGGCGTCATAAAAATGTTGATTTTCCCTGCATTTTGTGTGTCGATCAGATGGCATGATGGCACTCCCCAGCGGCTTTTCTCCGTTCGTGGAGTTTGTCGATGGATTTCAGCAGTGGAYGTGGATTGGTAAGAGGGTTTAAACATGTGGCTAACAGTGGCAACAACACTCGGGATGGTTTAATCCACGCAGATTAARATCCATGGCTTGTTTTAGGTCCGACTCAGGATACAGAGAGGGATCTCAGTGCGCTTTGTCAACTCTGGCTGGACTCCAAAGATTTTATTGTCAAGGTAGCACAAAGTTTCAGCACCGACTTTACTATTTCTGCTCGTTTATATTGAGGATTTTTTTTGTATGACAGTTTTTAAAAAGGCTTTATTCGTCTCTCACAGACAGAAAATGAAGACATGCTTGAGATGACGTCACCACCACCAAAACTGTGAGCTTTTCGCATGGCAAACATTTTATGCAAAATCCACTTATTTAATCATTAAAAACTTTTTGTGTACTTGGAGGCTCTATGAGTCCAGAAAGGTTTACTGTAGTCACTCAAAGTGCTTTGTCGATATATTTATATTCTGTCTGGGTCATAATTTTCAACTCGTTCAGTTTTCTATGAGGTTTTCTGAACTATTGCGATGGAACAAACTCATAAGGTCATTATATCATCGTAACCCCCCATGTCAAACTAGAATGGACCACTGTGGAAGCTGGAGTGGGGCAGTGTCTGAAGTGCCTCGTTTGGATTTAAAGAGACAGCCTCAAAATGAGTTGATCTGAGACATGAATCAGAAAAGGGGGAAAGAGGGGCTTGTGGAGTTACAATAAGGAGGAATTCAGAGGATTTAAATGTGAAAAAGAAGGATTTAAAAACACGATACHTCACCTTTGAGTATAAATCAGTTTAGGACTTTTCTTCAGTACTAAGGTTGTCTGCTTTCAAACAGCTCGACTGATTACGTGGTACGGCCCAGCACTGGAGATGAGAGACAGGTGTTTCAAGTCCAGGTTCGTGTTGATTCGACATTTCTAACATCTTTGCCTCTCTGTTTCTGACAAGAACCTAACCTGTCAGGTTGTGTGTTTCCTAACAGGAGCAGCAGAGATACAACCAGCCTCACAAAGCCTTCACCTTCCGGATGCATGGCTTTGAGTCTGTAGTGGGGCCCGTCAAAGGGGTCTTTGATAAGGAGATGTCTCTGAACAAAGCCAGAGAGCACACACTGCTTCGCTCCGACCGGCCACCTTACGTCACCATCCTCTCTCTAGGTTAGAGCTTTCATTTTATTCTTGTTTTTCTTTAGGGACAACTTTTTTAAAAAAAAATCTGCCTTTAACTCTATGTTGTTGTTTTTGTTTTTATAATTAGTACGGGACGCAGCAGCCAGGTTACCCAACGGAGAGGGAACGAGGGCTGAAATCTGTGAACTGTTGAAAGACTCACAGTTTCTGGCTCCAGATGTCACAAGTGCTCAGGTATGACAGTTCTCCATCTTATATTTTCATCAATTAGTTTATTAACGATTAATATGACGATCTAGTCTCTGGACCCCGGTTACGTCCTAGACTATGACTGATTTAAATCCAAGCCAAATAACAACCGTTGAAAGTCTTTTTGAWTAACTGCACACAATGTGATATAGTTGCCCACTTGATAAAGCCACACACTGACTGTGTAAGCAGTCGACGTATCTCGACTTGTGTTTGTTTTCTGTTTTAGGTGAACACAGTTGTTAGCGGGGCTCTGGATAGACTTCATTACGAGAAAGACCCTTGTGTTAAATATGACATTGGCCGCAAGTTGTGGATTTACCTGCACCGCAATCGCAGTCAGGAAGAGTTTGGTAAGCAGCAATCTGCCTTTAAATGCATAAAAACACATTGTAGGGTTTGGCAGTTTAAAGTTGTGATATTACGAATATTAATGACTCACTATTTAAGTGTTTGTAGTCTTTTTATCATTGCACAGTAACAAAATTGTAATACTATTTTCTTTGTTCCACTCAGAGAGGATCCACCAGGCTCAAGCTGCTGCAGCGAAGGCAAGAAAAGCTCTGCAGCAAAAACCTAAACCTGCATCTAAGCCTGTGAGTCCACCTCTTACTACACAAAGAACAACGAGTCTAGTTTGGCATTTTGCATGTCCCTTTTGTTTGGTATTGTTTCTAAAAACATGTCTGTTTTTATGTTTTAGAAATCTGGGAGTAAGGATGGAAGTAGCAAAGCTCCTGGATCTGTAGAAACAGCCCAGGACATAAGCTGTAATCCCATGTCACCAATCCCTACAACACCCACTCCTAACACTCCCGGAACCCCCAAGTCGCCTCTACCTTGCTCAGCCACCACACCTACAAAGACTGGAGTCCCAGAGACAATCAAAACCAACCCAGGGTCAGTTTGTTTCTATCATCAGTGCAGTTTGAACATGAAAATCAACTTGTCTGATAATTCTTCTTCTGTCCTCTTGCAGTGTTCTTCTTGTGTCTCCTCCCCCGCTGCCTCAGCTCGGAACCATTTTACCCACGAGTCAGGCTTGCCCGCCGGCCACACAGCCCGTTACATCCCAACAAGCTGCTCGGATCGTGAGCCACCTGGCGGCGGGCTCCCTCCCTCAGGTGAGGGTCGTTTCCGCTCAGCCGGGCCTTGGTTCATCAGCTGCAGGTCAGCAGGCCACGCTGGTGCATCAGACCCCTCACCAAATCCGCATGCCTGTGTCCGTGGCAGCCAAGGGCATTTCTCAGGTCRCTACACCGACAACATCATTTAACTATTTCACTTTTGTGCAGACGTATAACTGATGGTGTTTGTGCATTAGGCTGTGGTTTCTGTGCCTTTAAGAAGTCCGTCAGGAACTAGTCCAGTCCAGGTTCCGACCACTCTTTCTGTGTCTGCTCTAACTGTGACCAAACCGCAAACTGGATCTCCTGGAAGTCCAGCGAACAACCCCACGTCTCCAGCTGTGCTGCAGGGTGTGGCCAGCCCTAACATCAAACAGGTGACGCTTGTTGACACCATCAGCTTGATCTTTTGAGAACATTTTAAAGTGCCTGTGACYTCAAATTCTTGTAATAAGTATTTTTGGAAACAGGACACTGATAAAATATTGCAAAAAATTTCACCTCAGTGAGATGAACGACTGTTGAGATATTTGCGTGTGAAGTAACAGGAAGTGATGTCAAAGGGGAATGTCTGCATGTGAACAGAGCTTTGCTACAATAACAATCCAGATTGTAGAGAGAAATCTGATGTTTATATTATTTTGACTTGAGAGAGAAATGACGTTTCAATAAACAAAGACCAGAGTTAAAGGAAAAAAAATTGTATAGGTCCTCTGGACGGGTTCTTCTTTAATGAAACGTTTCGTCTCTCTTCCAAGAGACTTCTTCAGTCTGAGAGTTTCAGGCAAAATTCAGGCTTTTATGAAAAAAAAGCCATAAAAGCCTGAATTTTGCCTGAAACTCTCAGACTGAAGAAGTCTCTTGGAYGAGAGACGAAACGTTTCATTAAAGAAGAACCCGTCCAGAGGACCTATACAATTTTTTTTTCTTTGATTTTTTACCTGGATTACTGAGATGCATCAGGACAAAGACCAGAGTTTTCTTTCTTAAAGTGTTCCCGTTTGATGTCACTTCCTGTTTCACTTTAACTGAGCCAAGTTCAAAAGAAAATGCCAATTATGTGACAAAATGGTTAAAATCATGTGTATTTTGTCAAGTTTCTTAAATATAAAGATGTTTTTTTTTTTACTTTTTGTATTTGAAGGACAGGCATGTCACAGGCACTTTGAACTTTCGAGAACATTTTCAGTAGACAGGAAAAGTAGAAACATCATGAATAGCTAAATAGATTTCACTCCAAAATATCCTCTAACTCTGTTTTGACAGAAGTGCAGAACTCAGTCCTTAGGTTGAGTTTAGATTTTGTCCCATTGTTCTTTAATTATAATTAATATCTTGTTGTTGTTTCTGTTTATAGGTGTCCATAACAGGACAACTGGGAATGAAGCCTCCAGGTGGAGCAGGAATTCCAATATCTGCAACAAACTTGCGCATCCAAGGCAAAGATGTCCTCCGTCTTCCACCGTCCTCCATCACCACAGACGCTAAGGGCCAAACGGTGCTGCGGATAACTCCGGACATGATGGCGACTCTTGCCAAATCTCCAGTCACGACCGTTAAACTCACCTCGGACTTTCTGGGCACGGCCGCTTCGGGCAGCAAGAGCATATCCGCCACSCTGCACGTAACACCGCCCCAGGCGTCGCCGTCCTCCGCTGCCGGCGCTTCACCCTGCGCAGGAGAAGTCCAGACGACCAAAGCAGGCTCCGTCGCCTCCACCGTGCTGAAGGCAGGGGGCGACGCTGCCATACGCCTGATGCCCACTCTGGCCGTCACCATGGCTGACCAAAAGTCCAGGACCTTCTCCAGCGTGGCGTCCCCCGACAAGAGCGGGGCCACCATCCGGATCATGCCAGGCCTCGGCGTCATTCCTCCGAAACAGGGTCAGACCATCACAATGACGACCACCACGGGCAGCAAACCCCTCACAGCGACCACATGTGCCAATCTGGTGACCATGGCTGCGAGTGTTGTGAGCGGGGCTAAAGGCATCACGGTGGCTCCTGGATCCTCTGGTGCTCCTCTGTCCCTGGGAACGGCTGCAGCTACTGTGAGACAGGTTCCTGCTACGGTCGTTACGACACCGACGGTAAGACCTGCTGTTGGCAGTCAGTTCTAATCATGTTTGAAAAAAATAAAATAAAACAATCCAACAAAACAGACATCAGACACTGTAAGGGACACAGCTTTTAAGTCATATTTTACATAAAAAATATACTTTCATGATTGTTTTGCAGGCATTGTCATGTGATCATTTTAACAAGTCAAAGGTTTGCAAACTACCAATAAAATGCTAAATCATGTAATGACCTTTAAACAGATTACATCGTTTACTGTAATTGCTTGTTTTAGGTGGATATAGACTTTATCAAAGTCAAATATTGAATTTAACTTTTTAAAATGTTTATTTTTATTCGTTTTGGTTGAACTAGTCTTTCCACCTCCATTTTTTAAGTATAGTTTTGAATCTTTGACTGTTTAATACATTTTTGATCTTTGCGTCTTTAGTTTGATCTGCCTACAGCTTCAGTCTTTAAACTGAAAGTGTAATTTATTATCTTGTGCAGGGATTGGCAAACAGTAAAGACTGCAGTTATGTGTTTTCTCAAGAGGAAATGTGAAATCCATCTAAATGTTACTTTGTAAATAAAATGAGCTGTTACTTCTCCACTTTCTCATCATCTTAAGTTTTTCTCAGTACTTAAACACCGACTCTTCTTTGACTGCACTGTAGGGAAAGTTACCTGCTCGGATCACGGTGCCGCTCTCCGTCCTCAACCAGCCACTGAAAAGCAAGAGCGTTGTGACGACGCCGATCGTCAAAGGAAGRCTGAACACAAAGTAAGTCTCTGCTTATTTACTGTTGATAAAAAGGCAAGAGTATACGTTTTGTTGATGTTTTTCCCTGATCAGTCTGAGCAGCCTGGGCAGGAACATCATCTTGACTACGATGCCTGCCGGCACCAAGCTGATTGCAGGGAACAAACCGGTCAGTTTTGTCACGGCGCAGCAGTTCCAGCAGCTTCAGCAGCAGGGCCAGGCCACACAGGTCAGAGTGCATCACATTTAGACTCAACGAGGAGGTGAAGCCTGAACAACCTGCTCGGTCAAGTTTTCCTGTTTGGGAAGTCGTGATTCTGCATTCCCAGCTTAGAAAAATACAAATGTTTTTGTTCTGACTTGCTGCTTTCTCTGAGTTTAACAGCACTTTGTTTTTTAGGTTCGGATCCAAACAGTTCAGACGCAGCAGCTCCAGCAGCACGTYGCAACAGGCTCCCCAAAGTCAGTTTCAGCAGTGGTCGTCACAACGGCTCCTTCACAGAAATCTGTACCTGATCCTCCTCCTCCTCTTCAGCAGTGACACCGTTTTATAGTCTCTGTATATTCTTTCAAATGTTGCTGTTTGTACAGTCATAGGAAGAAATGTCTTTTTGTCTGGTGTGTTGTCATTTTCCAAGGTTCCATTAAAACATTTTCTCCACATTGTTGCAACTAAAACATGTTTGCATTTTCAGGCAGATTAAAATATTTTAGGGAAATCTTGTAAAATTGTTTTCTTCAGCAGCTTAAAAGTCTTGTTAATATTTAAATAGATTTGTTCATGTTTATTAAACCATTATTACAGCCTTGAGTATTATCAATTGGATGTGTTTTGAGTTTATAAAATGAAATATACAATTGTAATGATTTGATTTAATGTGATTTCATATTTATATAAAGGTGTAATAAACACTTTAAATCAAAATATTCGTGTTTTTCTTAATTTTTACACAAACCTTTATTCTGTAAATCTAAAGCACATTAGCAAAACATTTAGTGCAGTAATAAACATGAATCTTTTTGTCTATTAACAAAATTTCAGTAAAATAACAGAACTGTGATCATCTTCACTCTTCATCAGACTGCTCCAGTAAAGCTTTCTGCGAGCCCGACATGGAGGATGTATCTCTCATTCCGATCTCAATCTCTCGTCTTTTTTSGGAGAATCGCATCACGGTGCTGTTGGAATGAGACAAAGCTTTTAGCAAAATGTCCTGACCATACAAATGAGATACATTATTCAGGAATCTTTACAACAAACATGCATTTGCAAATGCTGTTGATGCAGGTGAGAAAAACTCATTTCACAACAAGAATGTGTTCTCTGATTAGTATGAAGCAGATCCTTCAAGGTTTTAAAAGGTTTTAGTAAATAATATCCTACCTGTAGTAGATAGTTTTCTTGAGCAACCTCACTTTAATTCTGACTGGACCACCAGCTAGCCTTACCAAAGACCAAAGTGGACTTAAGCCATTTTAAAAATAACTAATCTTAAATTTGTGGCACTTAAAAAAAACTTTTACACCTCATTACAGGATTATTCAGGCAGCAGTATTACAATATTCCTCTAGCCCGGTGTTAAATTCTGGCCCTCAAAGACCTGTTAATCCGCCTCTAAAAAGTCCACCTCCACTCCACTTATTCTAAATTAGAAGCATCTGTTGGAGGTCGTTAGCTGCATAAAGACGCCTGTCCACCCAGACGGACAGATAGATATAAAAGTTTGATATTAGTGTTTTAAGACTATCTACTTTCTTATCTGTGCTTGAATTTGCTGGTAATTTATCTAGTCAGAATCAAACTGGTTCTCCAAACAGATGTACTTCAAACAACAAGCAAGATATTAAGTGTTCACAACTTTTCCACAAAACACCTAAAAATAGCAACTGAACTATTCCAACAAAAAGGTGACACATTGTATTATGGACAGTATATTGTATGTAATCATACAAAATCCTGCTTGGCTGTAAAAAAAATTAGAAAATAAACATGTTACAGGTAAAAGATAAATCTAAAAATCATGTAATAAAAAAAAAGATAAGAGGTATTGCTCTTAATTCTGTGCCTTTTTTTTGTACCAGAACAAAACACACGCTGTTCCTGCCAAATTAGATAAATAGAGAAATATAGTTTGCCACAGTATTTCATATTTAACTAAAACAAAATGCAAAAGCTGTTTATGAAAAAGGAAGCCCACACTTAGTGCTTTAATCGGCTGTAGCCAGTGGCTGCCTATCTGATCAACTCAGCATAATTTTATATACAAAACACACACTTCAGTCCTCCCAGTATTTTAAACTAGTTTCTGTATCTAATATATAAACTTGTATTTCTCCATTCCAGAGATGGTTGAACGAACGTTTGTTTATTTAAGCCT